TGTGTCGACCACACATTTTATGATTATAAAGCCTTCATTCATCGTCCTTCCTCTTGAAAATATCATTGCATCTGGGTCCTTGAAAATGAACTGACAACAACGGGGTGAAACAGAATGAAAGATGCTACCAATTTTAAATTGGCAGGCAAAGAGTCTGAGGCTGCTAAAGAGACTGCACCGGAATATACAAGTGTGTTTGTGTTGCTGTGTGACATAACCACTAGAAACAGCAATGCGGGCAAACAGGAAAAAAATAATAAAGCCCAGACGCAGAGAGACCAGAACCAACCGGGTGTGTCATGCTGTCGGGAATGGAAAAGGAGAAGTCCTTCCCGTGCATACATGCAAAACACTGTGAATCTGTTGTGACGTGAACACAACCACAAACGGATGATGATAATGGTGGTGACGATGATGATGATGATAAAATTTACTGAGAAGACAAACCCCCTGCTGTATTTGATTTTAATGCTTTGTCAGGAAACAGGCAGTTCAATGTTAAGTACAGTGGCCAGCAAATTATTCTGCACTATTTTCCCCATGAATCCAGGCCTTGTGCATGGTAAAATAGATGTATCCTTTGAGGACATGCATATGGATGACGATCCAGCATTTCTGGGGAGTAATTTCACAATGATTTTTCTGTTTATTTATTTATCCACTGCAATGGGGAGTAATTTCACAATGATTTTTCTGTCTGTTTATTTATTTATCCACTGCACTTTTTTAGAGAAAAATAATTAACCAATTCCAGGGTATTCCAAGTTTATATGTGTGTCCTCTTTGTTTCTCTCTCACTCTCTGTATATCTGCACATATTTAAATTCATGTGTCAAAAAAGAATCTATCTCTGCAATGAAACTATATTCATTAAAAATGTCATCACCCTAAAGCACACTGAAATTTACTACTGCTAAAACAGATTACCATAATCGCGAGCTTTAACATAACAGTGTTAACAACACAATTATCTACAATTAATTTAGACCCTCTTTATAACTTTACAGGAGTTCTTACAACATGGCATGAGAGCCACTCACAAGCAGGAAATTTACATACGTCGTAGGTTTTTCAGCCAACACTTCTGTATTTGCACTGGGGATGACTTTGTGTTATTGAATTTCCTTGCCATTGCTGAATAATTGCAATACATTGAAAACAAATCTGGATTTAATTAAACGGACAAGGTTTTCTTCAAAATAATAGAAATATTTTGTAAGTTTCCTGAACATAAAGCTACACCTTAACCTAATTTTGTCTAACAATATAGCATGGCTCAACAGATATTCATGTTCCCAAACTTCCTTCCTTCTCACCATGAGCCATCTATTGCTATCAAAACAATATTTTACAGAGCTGCCCTTAAATGGTCAAAATTACTCAGAATGATGTTACTGTTACATTTGTTTATCTACACATATTTTACATACTAACTGGATTGTCCCTGATCATTAGAATCAACTGCTTATAAGCAAAACCAAAATACAGCACTTTGGAAAACTCCCTCCCCACTGAGTAATTTGCAATATTGTGTGTGAGCTGTGGACAGACACAGTACATGCTGTTAGTGAAGTCTAGCAGCAGAGTAATTAATGATACACATGCTAAATGTGTCAAGCTGGTGAACTTTTTGTCGAAGAATAAAACCTTGTCCCAGTGGCTGCTTGCTCAGCGACATATCGCTGCGGTTCTTACCTGTCCGACAGCAGTCCTGCTAAGCCGTATTGTGTAGTGTTGCGAGTTTAGAGGGACTGAGCGCATAGGGGACAATTCCGAATGTGCAGGGAGTCTGGGAGTCTCTTTGGGAAGTTCTCAGTGTCTTAGAGTTGAAGGCTGCTCTGTCTCGATGGGGACAAGGCAGGGATATAAGAACACACACTGTGGCAAGAGGCCTGATCCTGCAATCCTTAGCAAGGCCAGACTCCCATGGAAGTTGCAGGACTGGCCCAGAATAGGGGCTGATGTACTTTCTTGGTTTTTCTGAGCAGCTTCAAAAATAGACTCCTCCGGACACTGGCACTGGCTATACAGCCAACGCTTCAGCTCACAAATTCTAGACAGGGATTCCCCCCCCACTGTCAACTCTGGGTTTGAAAGCCAACATTTTGCTTTCTGTGTAATGTCCATCCCAGGAGTCCTGACAGCCCTCGGGTCCCATGTCACCATCCGGAATGTTTTCTGGACCCTGGGTCCATTCTGATCAGCAGCACATGGGATTGCAATGCGCACTCACTGCGCTGACCGCGGAGTGACAGCCGGGTCAACCACCGACAATGATGTCATTAGTCTAATCTCACTTAGTACAGTAGTAGAGTAACCAGCAATCAGATAATGCCCAGGCTGTTTCTGCAGAAATGAGGGTGCCTACGTCACAGCAAAGGGAAATTAGCCTTTAATCTTTTGTAGACATTTGTCTACATATGGACATTATGCAGAATGAAGTTTTACTACAATTCCTGGGACCTTATTTGATCCAAATCAGAATAGCTGGAGAGCCTGACATTCATTTATTTTTATGACAGGTTTCAGAGGTAGCTGCGTTAGTCTGTTTCAGCAAAAACAACAAGGAGCCCAGAGGCACCTTAAAGACTAACAAGTGTGGGTTATGCCATAATAAAATTGTGACTCTTCTTTGTATTGATTTTTATACATACCAAGTCGATTTTCCTGTACATTGCCGGCTCTTGGGTGAGCACAAATACATGTTTATTTAACTCTGGGAAGAGGTACCTGTGTTGTCCTGGAGCCGGTGGACTGCAGGGCTCTTCAGAGTCACAAATCCTCTCCACCTTGGATGCAGATTCCCATTAACTCTTGCTACTCTAGCTGACCAAACGGAGCTTTTTACCGAGTACAGCAGGCCGCGCTGTGTGTGCAAATGTTGGAAGTGAACGCAGCCCTCTTTGAATAGTGCAGCCACCAAAAGAGCTTAAAGTAGAAGTGGAAGACTATTTTCTTACTTAGAAAACATTGCAGGCCAGTGCAGTAAATGGGGATTTTTTGCTCCAACCGATTCCCCGTTACTTTGGGTGAGTTATGTCGCGTTAGTGAATACATTTGGACAGAGACTAAATTTGAAAAAGGAGGCGGGGGGATCCGCCTTCCTATCAATGGATTGCAACCTAGTGCAGCGGTGTGGAGGTTTTAATTTTTTTACAGCGGTACCGTTTCCAATCCCAAAGGGAATAAACACAACCCACGTTCAATCCAACAGCTCTGGCAAGAAAGAAAAAAGAAAAAGGAACCCTGGCCAGCCTGTGCACTAGACTCTCCTTGCAGCTGTATTGAGCCGCGGAAACAGGACGAGGGGTTAACCAAGCCCCTATCCCGGCTTTTCCAAGCACCCCGGCAGCTCAACAGTTAACAGCCCATCCAAAAAGTCCGCCCGTGCGAATCTCGCCCTGTCAGCCGCGCCCGAGGCGTTCCATCTGGGGGGCAATGAAGCCGGGTTTGCTGCTGCCTGGGCCCCCCGAGTGCAGCTGTATTGAGCCGCGGAAACAGGACGAGGGGTTAACCAAGCCCCTATCCCGGCTTTTCCAAGCACCCCGGCAGCTCAACAGTTAACAGCCCATCCAAAAAGTCCGCCCGTGCGAATCTCGCCCTGTCAGCCGCGCCCGAGGCGTTCCATCTGGGGGGCAATGAAGCCGGGTTTGCTGCTGCCTGGGCCCCCCGAGGTAGCGCCAAGCGTCGGGTCCTGGGCGCCTTCCGGAGCCGAACCGGCCGGCCTGGCCGC